GTATTACAGGGGAAGGTAACCCCAAATCTGGGAGCTGTTACGCATGGTCTTTTGAGTTGCCCTGATGAACACCTCCTAGGGACACTTGTTTTTCAAAATTCTGCCTCTCTCTTCATTGGCTCCCCCTTGCCACTTTGTATGCAAATAAACTCTTGTTTCATTTGCAAAAATAATGTAGGTACACAGACACTTAATTTTTTGTGTATCTTTAATATGGTACCTATGTGACTTGTATAGTTGAACAAAATTCACTCACACTGCCAATCTGCTAATATTTTATATTATATTAAAAATGGAATGCACTTAGGGAAATGTGATCTGTTCCAGCATAATCTGTGCTTTTTCTTTTTTTAACATTAGGATGAGCTCAAAGTCGAGAATGTGGTCCACAGTTATTACCAATGTTCCTCCTAAGGAAATTAAACCCTCAAATGCCCACAGACAAATATAAAAATACCACACATAGTACACCACAGTTTTAATAACATTAATAATAATTATCATTATTACTAAATGAGTATAAACAACTACTTGAAGTCATATTTAGCTGGGCTCCCTTACAGCCAAGATCTGGCTAAACCTCCTTTTACTATTTACTATTCCTGATGTATCAGGAAGAATACCTTATAGTTTACAGAGGGCTTGATTACCTTTACTCAAAAGGATTTCAGTCAGTTGAAACATCAGCAGACACAGGCAAATCTAACTAAAACTGAAGTCAAGTGTCTTTTAGATGAACACTTCTGATCAATCTTTCTCTCAGGCCTCTGTGGTACAATTTTCTCATTTAGTCTCATGGGGCAAATCCAGAGCAACATTTAAGGCATTGGGAGCAGCACATGGGTAAGGATGCGTGTGTTTAAACAAGGACAATCAAACCTTGTGGAACTTCAACCTGATTCAAACTTGTCTGCAGCCGGAATGCTTTAATTCACCTCTGCATCTCATCACAATCCCTGCCCCAAGACGCCCAGACTAAAAGACAGAGAATAGCTCCAGATGAAACAGTTTTCAGTAAATTTTAATAGGCGAGCTTTCAGAAAAGGAAACACTAAGTCTGCAAGGAAAAGACGTGCTGTGGTTCCTGTAGCCATCTGGATGCATTACCATCAGGATACTGCAGTGGAGGTCACAGCACTCACCCGGCACTTCCGACAGCAAAGCCCATTGCTGCACTGGGAGCCTGCTGTCAGGGTGCAAGCATTGCAGCACTCTCCTCCTTCGATGGCGCACTCCTGAGGAAGAAACAGTTATAATAGAATACACATGAAAAGCACATGAGCCCCAAGCTTTCTTATTACTTCTCATCTGAGTGTGCTACCTGAACAGATTTTTTCACCAGACTTTTAGGCACCTGGAGGCAGGAAATAAAAGCATGCACTGTCAAGTATGAAGCTCCTGCACAGCTGTTTGCTATGCAATAAGAAATAATTTTCCTAACTTCACAGTGTCAATCATTAAATACTGATATTTTAGTACTGACTAAAATCCCATCTAGGAAAATACTTTAACATCTTTTAATGCCTGATTCTGCACAGGTAGCTATTGCTATTACTCTTCAGAATTTATGTGGTGATAAAATAAAAATCCTGGCCCACATCATGTTAAACATGATGGGAAAAGGTAAGAAACTATGAATCCCTTGTCACAAGACCTTAACATTGCCTGTCTTCCTCCACTTCATGTCAATAGCAGTGACAGGCAGCACTGTGTCCTGGAGAATCTAGTTGCTAATTTAAAGAAGTACATTGCACTTACCGCTATCGTCCCACAGTCACACTCTTCTCCATCTTCCACAAAGCCATTGCCACATTCTGGAGGATCCAGAAGCTGCAGGACAAAATCAGAAACCAAAGGACATGTCTCTCCTAAAGGAATAATTGCCATATTTATTCTGTACAACATAGTTTTTTAGCTAGCACTCCAAGTGCATTAACTAAAACACAGTACCCACAACTCAGGAAGGAGCAAACTAGAAACAACACAAACAAAATGTAAAAGAATGAACAATGCTGTGAATTAATTCAGCAATATTCAGAGTCACATGGCGTCTTCTGTGTGAGACCGCCATATTTACAGCAGATTCAGTTTGAGCAGAAGCCACAAGCAAAATCAAAAGGTGTGACAATAAAAGAAAAAAATTAAAACAATATGACATTTTTATTATCATCACAGGGGTTGCAATTGCTGTTTTTCTGGAATTCAGGTGATGAGGACTGTGTCCCCAGTTGATGCCTGCATAATACCTTAAGAAGTAATAGCCATAAAAAGTCATCCTTTGGGAGGATGTGGCTCAAAAATGTAGGAAGAGGGGAGAGGCTGTGTTTCTTTGTCAGTTTTTGTTGTAGTTGGATGCTTTTTCCTTCCCCTTTTCCCTATCACAGCTGGGAACTTTCAGCAGTTTTACATAAGCATGTGTCACTGGCAGATGAGAAAGTATAGCTGGTGAGGCTGCCTCTCCTTTCCTTCAGCCTCCCTCTGAAACTGTAACTTTAAATGTCTAAATCTGTGTATTTGTACTAGTACATTTCTTTCCCAGAGTCAAGACTCATTCACTATTTTTCACATAGGACCCATGCTATGTTACCTTTTAATGGACATTTACTTTCCAGTTTTATTGCTTCTATTTTCCTAAAATTTCTAGAGGTAATTCTTCAAAAATATTTTTTTTTCTTTGGGCTTAAGAAAACATAAGAATACTTTTATTATAGAAGAAGGCATATAAGCATGTCACCAGGACTAAAATTTTGCAGATTGTCCTCTGAGTTCTCCAATTAAACTCAGCTGATTCCAGAAACCACTCTGCTTATGAGCCATCTGCACAAGACACCACTAATGGTGTACAGAGCATTTTTTCCCTGGCTGCTGCCTTTCTGCCCATAGCCCACAGGATGGAGCATCATCCCATGTACTTCCCTGTGCCACAAACCAGCCTGAGACTTGTGGTACAGCCTGACATGCTATTATTAGCTCTCCCTATTGAAATGGAAATTTGACTGCAGCATGAAATGCCTATGTAGAATGTTACATCAAATGTAAACAAGCAGTTATCTTCTAGAATTATTAAAGAGTTCTTAAAACTGCATGTTTCCTACGTATTTTTCCAGAGAACTTTTCTTCAGAATCTCTAGGTGTGCTGCACAATACAGACAAGCAGATGGCAGTACCTGAGGGTCCTGCCTTAAAGCATTCGGTCAATTTGCTGCAGTACACAGGGACAAATAAATATAAAATGAAGAAAAAAAAACATGGAAAGCAAGTTGAGTAACTTTTCCCCAAAAGTCATATAATTCATCCATTCATTTGATAAGAGCATATGCTTAACATGCTCCAGCAGTCACTGATGTAATTTTTGGGATCACAGCTGATGTTATGGTTTAAGGGTTAACAGCCTGAAAGGGAAGGACAGGTGGTGTCTGTAGGACCCTGCAGGGTCAGAGATCAGTACTGTTCCATCCCCTTTCCGGCCACAGACTATAAAGAACCGAGGACGCCTGAGGTTTTCGCGGGCTTTTCCTGGTTTCCTGGGCTGCTTCCTGTCGCATCTCGGGACGGCTGGGCCTAGCTCCACGTGCTCGGCAGCATCCACCGCCACCCGCTCCCGGCACCACTGCGGTCCCTGGTGACAAGTCACAGCAGTCGCAGTGGCTACGAGGCACTGCTCAGACACTTCCACTTGGGATGACTGGGATCGCGTTTTGTATATAGTTAAATATCCTTTATCCCTTATTAATTCCCTTTTCCTTTCCCCTGCTGTTTTTGGTTAAACTTGTTATAGTCATAACTTCCTACCTTGTGTGAAGCATCTTTTTCTCTATTCCCTTTTTTTTTTAATCCTCCCCTGTGAGGGTAGGGGACAACAGAGAGAAAATCCTGCTCCCTGGACTTGCCCTGAGCTTTAAACGGAGACAGCTGATCTTACAGTGGAGCACTGTCAAACACTGCACCTTGTTACATCAGTTTTATTTTATCTCGTGTTTCTTGAAAAGCAAAAGTAAGTTTGTGTTTCACCAATTTTGCTAGGATACACATGTCTTTGACAGTCTTGTGAATTAGGCAGACATCCATTGACAATAACTTTAAACCAAATCAAACAACAATATATAAAAGAGCCTAAATCACCCTGGTTTTCTCATCTAACTTTCACATTTTCACATGCCGTTAGAAAGAACTGTAAATGCTGCCAATCTCAATTGAGATTAGAGTAATTGGTTTTTTCAAAGCGACAGATGTGTAAATGAACATAATTGCTAAAATAAACCCAAATAAGACACATTACATTATGGAAACAATTAATTCACCAAAGAAATAAAATCAACACTATTTCTCTTAACCTTTAATGAGATGGGAAAAAGTAAACTTTTAAAATGCAGCTGCAGTTTAAAGAACGAGAAATCTTACATCTTATTAACAAATTATACGGCTTTCTCTCCACTTCAAATAATACAGTCTTCCATGAAAAGGAGACCTTTGAGAGATAAGCAGACTCAGCTTATCCAGACATAATGCCTTTTCTTCTCCTCTCTAGCATTTACTGAAATTCTGTGATTTTCCATATACGCACTTTTTCTCAGCCATTCCAGGAGGAATGTGCATCACTCCAGAAGTTACTTTCTCTTTTACATCTGCGACCACCTCTGCTACCAAGTCTTTTTGACTTAGCCTCTTTCCTTTGCTTGTTGAAAGCCATTAAATAGATGATAACATTAATTATATATAGAAAATATTCAAGATCATTATCATGATTACTTTACATTTTAACACATGCTTCAGTAAATTGAGCAGGAATATACTGAAACACTGCTTCAGATCCTTCATTGTAGAAGTGCTTGCATCTTGGCTGGAGTTTCTTTAGCCTTGTTTTGTATTTGTCTCCCTTAAATGTCTCAGTAAATAATGTCATACTTTTTGCATCCTTCACCTGTTTAGCAGGCCAAAAGCAAGATAAGAGAAGCAAAGAAAAAGCAAATGTTATCTAAAGAGATATCCCCCCACTTCTTCCAATTCCAAGACTCGTGCAGCAAGACCTCTGATTTTGTACTTCAGAGGCAAATCTAGAGGGATGGGTCAGTGTTTAAGTGGGTCCCAATGCTTTTATAGCTCTCCTGCCCCCAGGCCTTTATGGAGGTAACGCACCCTGCTAAATGAGACAAAGTACATTGGCACTGAGGGCCAGGGTCCAGCAGGGATTTGTTGGCCTTTCCCATATGGGGGACTACCCAGCACAATGCAGGGTTGTGTGGAGCCACATGAGCTGGCCTGGAAGGAGCTAACACAGGACTAAGATGATCTGGGTACTTCTCTCCAGACATGTTTCTGCCCCAGCACATGGGTTCAGGGGATGAGGTTCCCTGGTGACGGTGAGGGGAACCTGGGGGATGAGTTGTGTGACAGGTGCCCAGCAGCCACAGGCTCTCCTACTGTCTGTCTCCTACTCCTCGGAGCTTTCTCTCCTGCTCTGCCTTTTCCAGCTTTAGAAAAACTAGCCCAGTTTTCAAACTCTATTCCAAAAGCCACTGTAAAAGCTTTGCCTTCTCTGAACAGGGAGAGTATCACAACCACCTGTAACTGTTCGTGCCTGCAAAGCCGCTGGGCTGCATGGCAGCGCGCTCCCAGCAGAGGCTCTAGGAGCTGTGTCTTCATCTTGGGACAAATGTGAAATAAAAGCAATCTTACTTCAGCCTTCAGAGATTTATACCAAAAGTCATCAGTTCAACGCAAATTAGAATTCAAGCTGTGCTAAACTTTACCAAGACACTTGAAACCTCTCAGCAAATAAATTCAGCAGCATATTGTATTTACAATATTCAGAACAAATTGGGTGAGGAATGGTTCTAGATCAAAGCCTATTAAAAATTTATTTGAATAAAATTCCAAACTACTATAAACTATAATCAGCTGCTTTCCCTCATATGTCACAAGAAAATTTACAACTTAGAGAACTATCAAAATCAGAGGTGCTTTTTTTTCCCCTCAACATCATAATTTTCATTATTCTTGGTTTTATCTAAATTACAACTAGAGTAGAAATAATACTCAATAATAAGGTCATGCTTACTTTGGTTGGTTTATTGAAAAGGCAGGCTCCACCTCCATTGTTTAAAAATTCATTATATTCTTCAATATCACATTTGGAGAACTTGCTTGGAAGATAATACCTGCAGAGAAAAAAGGTAGTAGGATTACTTTCTATAGTGCTTTTTACGCTCTGTTTTCTTTTTTCAAAATAGGAGGAGAAATATAATGTTATACATTAGAAAAAGTACAAAACCACACTGTTCAAAACCACAGTGACTATCTGCTTATAACTCTAAATCTAATTTGTAAATCATTTTAGTAAATGACAAAGAACTTTCAACAACAACAGAGCTCATGGAAAGTGAGAGGTCTAAAACATTTCACTAAGTTATTTCATGTCAAATACCACAAATCATATTACACAGTGTGTAGTTCTCACAAACACAACCAGTGCCAGTAATAGGCCTGATCTCAGAAATAAATTTCTTTCTTCCCATACATACTGCAGAAAACAAAAATTGCTCATAGTTTATTTTCCTCTTAGATGAAATTGCTCTCCTGGCTCACAGAGTTTTTAAATAATAGCGTTATACCACTTTAAAACATGCTTCTAACAAACATCAGCTTCCCTCTCTCATGTACCCTACTGAATAGATTTCATTTGAGTAGAGTGCCAACCTAAGTGTACCACCTGAAAACAGTGTGATTAAGAGAATCTTTGCATGGATCCTTTCCACAGGGAAAGAATTTTTCCTAAAGTAACTTAAAAGTGATCTTTAAATTTAGGTCCTTAGTCACAAAAGTATTTATGATTCAAGCATATTTTGGAGTCTCAAGGGCTTTCCTGTATCAGCTCATCACTGGATAAAAAAATATTAGCAGAAGTGCTATACAAAATAACCCCACATTGCTGAAAGCAATGGCTTGCAAACCACAGTTGGTCTTTTCTATCTCTAGTGATTAAGATTTAGTTCTAAAAGCTATAGAGAATGTGGGATTCTCCATCCTTCATCAATAAGCTATGTAAATACAAGCTTTTTTTGTGTACCTAATTATTTGAAAGGTTTGGATTTCAGATAAGGAATTTAAAAACCATTAGATAAGGAATCACTTTTACAAGAATCAAGAATGCTTCTCAGATTGGCTTTTTGACATATGAAAAATCCAGCCTAGTATGCTTTCAGCTAGACAAGGTGAAAAAGGCACACTTTCACACTTCCAAAGAAATATGCTTCTTTGTTCAAAATTGTTCTGACCACAAAGCTGTTGTGAAAAATTGCAGGTCAGTTTGACATTAATTTAAAAAGCACTGTCTATATCTAAAACTAGACTATAGTTTAATTCTTATACATGACAAAATACAAGCCTGCGACATGAAGAATTAAGGTCTGAATACATGCGTTGGAAAGCATTAAATTTAATCTAGCAGAAAAAAAAATTGCTGATTCACTAGTCTTCAGATAAAATCTCTCCAGTGACGTAAAGGAAGTTGTGGATGCCACCTCCCTGGAAGTGCTCAAAACCAGGCTGGACAGGGCTTTTGGGCAACCTGGTCTAGTGGCAGGTGTCTGCCCAAGGCAGGGGGGTTGGACCAGATTATCTTTAAGGTCCCTTCCAACCTAAACCATTCTATGAGTCTATGATTCTATACTCAACTTCCAGTGGGGGCAGATTTTCTCACATTATGACACAAACTGGAAGATAAAAAATTATATAGATGAAAGATTCCAACACAAACACTGAAAATGAGACATACTTAAGCAATATGGTAACAGTATTTCAAGAATTAGGATGTGGTAATGTTTGTTCCCACAACTCAACAGCAAGCACACAGAACAGTAGAAGCTAAGTGTGCTCCTGCTGCTCTGCAATGACCTGGTTTGGCTGTTGAGCCCTGTGCTTTGGGAGTTAAACCAGTGGTCACTAAAAACCTTCACATATTCTCTCATTACCTCACTTATTCACACATTTCTTTGAAAGTGTCTTTTCTATGTATGTCACACAGCTACTACCTTACTTTCTGAAAAATGATTCACTGAAAATATTCTGCTGGACCACAAAACACAAATGTTTTTACACCTTTCCTGTATGTCATCGTATGAAGGACAGGACTTTCCTCTAGTGAAAAGCCTTACCCTGTGTCTCCCATTATGCATCCAGACCACGTGTCCTCACACTTACACTCACCTGACAACAACAAAACAAAATTAGATCTTGAGTCTTGTGAGTCCAAAATAATACATTTCTTATCACAAAAACCACACTCTAGTCAATTCTATTTAATATTTAAACACAAACTCAAAATAATAATTTGCTGGTTTACTGTACATCTTAGTTTAAGTTTATCAACGCACACTGACAAATCGGCTTCCAAAAACTGCACATGACTCCATGCAATCCTGTGTTTTGAAAATATGTCCTCTTTTTCTTTCCTTCTCTCAAAGTGAAGTTAGGGGGAACTGCAGTGTCAGCCTCCAGCACCTGCAAATCATGAGCCAGCTCTCTTGCTTTCTCCTATGTGATGATATTTGATTCCCAAATTTTCAGATTAAAAAAAAAATGAATAATTTTAACCCTCATTTTTAACTCCTCCTAATTTTTTAGTTCTCTTCTATGCTAATGTGACTTGGGAAATCTTTGCTTGAAAGGAAGTCCCAAAGAATAATGCATACAGAAATGCATAAAATGGTCTGTAAACACCAGGCAGAACAGCAGGATCTAGCAGCTTCTTCCTCTGCTCTTCCTCCCTTCCCTGCCCACCTCCCTTCCCCATGCATCTCCCTGGGAAGGCAGAGGGCAGCCTGCTCTTCTACCCTGCCAGGCTGCCTGGGAATGCTTTGCTCTGGTCTCAGTCCTTTGCTTTCAAAACTAGATTTCTGAATATTTTTCGAAATAAAATTATGTAAACTGCAAAAGCCTTTACATGCAGATGTATCTCTGCATTATATACTGTCTTTACAATGCCTGAAACCAAAATTCACCTCAGCAGAGTTCAATTATTCAGTATGGCAATTTATTTTTTTTAAATGTAAGCCACATTGGTATGCATTATTCAATAACTAACCACTCCATCATCTAATTTTTTTCAAAACTGTATCATTATTTTAATCATCCATTGTTCTCCATGTGCCGGGACTTCATATAACATGGAAGCAGAGAGGGTGAGGTGCTTGTCAGGAGGCAGAGTTCTGAATTAAAGCATTGGTAAATAGGGGTTACAAAGACGTTGGATACCAAGGCGATAGTAGATAAATGGTCGCAGTACGGTGGCAAATACAGGAGACTCAGGGAATCTACAAGAATAACTCAATCAAGGCAAACAGGAAAAAGCTACGTTGTCAAAATCACCCCACGTAACAGGACTGAAGTGGCTTCTCATCCTTCCCAGGTCTAATATCATGTTTCTACCTCTGCACCATTAGGTGGCAGCCATTCAGTCAGTATGACACCAATCTCCCTGAAATGAATAGAAGTGGCAGACATGATTTATGATCTATGATTTATTTTTAATGAAACAGTGACATTAGTGCTGCCAGCAATTATTGGCAGGAGGATACCGCAGTATTTAAATAGAGAAAAATTAATAGTATGCCAGTCTCTCCTCATGTTATTAAAAGAAAAACAAAAATACTCCAACATTGTTAAAAACATGGGGAAAAAAATACATATTAGAGAGACACTGATAAGGTCTTCCACCTTTTAAGATTTTCTCTTGAGACAGCCTGAAAAAGCAAACAACCTTACCACTTATAAGTTTTCTTCTGTCTGAGAAAATGCCAATGTTCTGGGCCAAAGTCTGTGCCAAGGTAACTGCCATCAAGTCTGGCTTTCCAAACTGAAAGAAACAAGCAAGGCAGGAAGAGTAATCAGTTAAGTACAGGTTTCTCAGATACAAGTGAAGCTTTTTGCATTTCAAGGCAATAAAAGGCAAAATCAGATGCGCAGTGTTAGAGTTCTTACTTCAGAGCAGCTAGATAATGGACAAGTGAAGAAAACTAAATGCTGGCTTATGGACAAGTTAAGTAAGAGAAAGTCTGTTTCTTTCTTGCCATTGTGGCTGCAAGTATGAATGACAGGATATTGCAGAATCTGCTGAAAATTATAGTTGAACCCATATCTGACTTCATTCACTCACCACTCCTCATTGAGGCATCCCTTCTATATAGCTGCACTAAAACTCCGTATCAGCAAAGAAGCAGCAAGATATTTTAAGGAACATGTCTGCGGTGATAAATTCCGTGCAGATACATTTCCACCAATTTTGCTCATACCATTATCCCCACCTACCTCGTTCACACCTCCGCCTTTAAGCAAGGAGCAGATTCCACCAGTGTGGGCTATACCACTCCGGCTGCTCTGAAATCGACTCCCCCTTAGACAAAAAAAGAAAAAGAAAATAAAGTTTACCCTGCTCGGGCCATGAGTTCTGCACCTATCCATCCCAGTATTTACCCTTCTGACTTCCAAATGAGAAAATGTCATTTGCAAATGCTGGTTGACACCACTATGCTGCAAACTATGCAAAAAAACAAAATGGAAAAAACAGATAACCACTCACACACCTCACATGACAAACTGTCTCCAGAAAAGTTACACCATCTTCCCTCCTCCTCAGACTTGCCAACATAAGAAAGCATAAGAAGAAGAGGAGTGTTTTGCCAAACCACCTGAACCTCACCAGCCTTTTGTCACTGATGACTGCAGCAGAATGACTTCTACTGGCACGTGCTACAGACAGAGCACAGGAGAGGCCACCATGCTGACAATGCATGGGGGAGCAGTAAAAAGACACACATCTAGCTGATGTGGCAAAACTTAAAGAGAGTTGCGTTACCAGCTCCCTGATGCAGTGGTAGGTGAAAACTCCCTGAAACTGGGGCCAACCTCATTCAAGGGACAGATGCATTATGAGCCTAAATCTAATAATCTCTTTGGTGCCAACCACATCAGCATAAATGACTGCCAGTTACTGGAGACAAAATATACTCTGCTCCACTTTAGAGTACTGATCCATTTGAGCTGCAGCAAATTGGATTATTTTCAAAGAAGAAGAGAAAAACATCAAGAAACAACAAACAATGGGCTTACTGTGCAGAAGGAGGAAATTCATTTGTCACCAGTGGGGCATCACACCAGCCAACCTCACCTCCCAGCTTAGCTGTGTCTCACTCACAGACACAATTTCAAAAGCTGATATTTCTAAACAGTCTATGAATGCAGTACCTCAAACAGCAGCAGTGGTGTTACAGACAACACTGGAATCAGCATTACACTGGTACCCAGAGTCCCAGTCACAGGGAAAATAGGGCCCTCTTTGTCCTAGCCAATGTACAAATATTCACAGGAACAAGACTTCTCCCGAATACATTACAGTATCACCAGAAAAGATACACAAAAGATGTGCGAAAACCTGATTCCCATTTTCCAGATTAAGAACTGAGACACAGAGATACTAAAATCTGCAAGGGCCACTTGCAGATCTTACTGGCTCTCTCATGGCATAAGTTAATGACAGTAATTACGTGCATGTCACGTTAATGTGAAAGTGAGGTGTTTAGGTTAAGTTTATTCATACAGGCTCCCACAGCAGTCAGCAGAGAGGTACAAGAACTCAAACAGAGCAGTTCATCTGGCCTGTCTCACGTGGATCAAAAATCTCAGCAATGAAACTCTCCTCTATTTTTGTAGATGTATTTTGTTCTATCAATTTTATTTCCAAAACAATCAAGAGATTTTGAGAAAGTAACATTCCTCCCAGCTTATTCTTCTAATGGCATGTCTTTCTGGAGAACGAATAGTTTTGAGACCTGAAGCATGCAGGTCATTCAGCAAATTAAAGCAGGCCACAGAGCTTTCTAAGCAGGAAACTTCATTGGTTTCAAAACCAATATTCTGCTTTTACATAACACAACAGGGCTATCCGTGCTCTTACTCTGAAGAAGCCAACCTCTGAGGTGGAACCATGCATCACCTTTGAGGCAGCTGCACTTGCGGAGGAGGTAATTGTACAGAATAACCAAGGATTACAGCACATGCAGCTCAAGCTTAGTATGTTAAAACTAAAATGAGAGTCAGACCTCTAGTTGCACTGGCAGGCAGTTTGTGCATTATTTTTTTCCCACCTCCCCATCAGAAACATTATTTTCTGAATTATTGTGGATTATACACACAACAGAAAGAAGATGCATCAGCCACTTGTGATAAGCAACCCCCAAGGAAAGAAAAAAACCCAGTAATAAAACATCACACGAGGTTACGTACGAAAACAGGTGAACTGCGTCACTTTTCTCTCTGATAAAATCCCTCCTATATTTCATAAACTCACGTAGGGTCACCAAGGGGTTTTCAGATATGGTGAACTTGTTATCAGTAGCCCAGGTTTCCATGGCAACCAATACTATCCTGGTGTTAAGTTGTTCTTTATATATCTAGTACATTAACAGAATGAACAAATATGTCAAATAAAGGTGAGTTTTACCCCTTTCTCGTGACAGCTTGCAATTTTACATAACTAAATATTTAGCTCGTTCTAGCACACTTTAGTTTCTTACAGGTGATTTCTATCTCTCTTAAGACCAACAAACAAACATGAAAACAAAGTAAGATCTAAATTTTAGGCCTAATTCCTAAATCAGCTCATTTAGCCTGTAAAAAGATCCCTTGCAGGTTCTACACAGGCAGAGGTGCATAGAAGGGAGATGGGAGTAATTTCAAATAGTTCAAATATTTTGAATTAATGGCTCTTTTATAATGTCCAGCTCATCCCAGTGACACACGAGGGCTCTCTTATACAAAATAGTGATCTATAAAACCACAGTTTTCAATGTTATACACCTCTACAGCAGCATTTAACCTTATGCTGGCTGAATCAATAACAAAGGCCCATCATTTTAATGCCAGGGGTTAATACTTCACACCAAATACTTTCACAGTTTTATTTTTCTAGTAATACTTTTCTGGGGTGAGTGCAAGAGCCAGCAGCTCATCCAATTTAGCATCACAAATATAATCCACATAAACCACCTGTACGTCCCTATTCTAACTCATTTACTCAAATGCCCTTTTTCTGGGGAAATTTTTGTGCATTCTAATTTCAGATTTGTCCTTTGAGTTACAGGTTGTCAATACAGGGATCCTGTGTTAAAAGCTCTTCTCTAAGGTGCTCTTTAAAACTCAGACTCAAAGGACTGATAAACAGGATACTTCAATGCTTAAAGCCGCAAAAAATCTCAGTGCTTTATGTTAGAAAAAGACTTTATAAGTGGCTGACTGTGGTTCTAGATGAAAATTTCTGATCTTCAAATATGTTATTATTAGGTATACCATGAACTGACAACTCCTGCATCTATCAGCAAGAGAATCTTATGACTCATCTCATACGTAAAATAATATTTAGTTGAGTGATACTTACTAAATCTGCCATGTTCACAACTGATTTAGCATAGCTGTTTGTATGGCCAACTGACAAGCGGTGCTTTTTACACTGTGAAACAAACACAGACAAGTTACACAGACTTCACAGACTTCAGAAAAATAAGGTCCATTTCCAAAAATGTGCAAAGTAAAAAGCAACTACATCAACAGTAAACCCACTATGCAAGGTTTGGTCTCCTGCGCTGAATGTAATGCTAATAAGCAATAGTAGAAAACTGTTCAGAAATGTTCATTACTTACATACTTCACAACAGCTGTTGTATTAATTCCTGCTTGGAAACTAAGATCTTTAATGAAAAATGCTAAGAAACATGAACAGATTGTTACTCTCTTCATTATCTTTATTATTGGCAATTTTAAAGTTAATTCCAAATGCCAATACAGAAATTAGCAACACAGTTTCCATAGTTGAGACTTTTTTAGAGGTGTTACCCCAAGAGTGCCTCCATCTGTGTTTTAATCTATCAGACTTGCTATTTTTTTCAGTTCTCTCTCTTAAGCTGTCTTCTGGATTTCTTCATGTACAATTTCACACTCCATAGTACCACAGTGACTGGTTCAAATCATTTTAGCAATCAGACTGCAATGTTACATTTACTGAAATCTGTAATACAGCGCTATAAAGATGACAGCGGAGATAGCTCTCCAGGTACTCCTATCTGCAGAAAAAACACTTATAAATGAACATCATGGGTATAAAAGTCACAAGTATCTTAGAAGAATTTAGGACAAGAGGGCCAAGATTTTCATAAACGTTTAACCATTTCATGCCCCATGATGCTTGATTCTGGCGTGAAACTGTTCATATCTTCTGGAAGTTAGGATCTTTTAGTGAGCAAGAAGTGCCCAGCAGCTAGGAGTGGGAAAGGCATGATTTCAAGCGGGAATGGGGGGGGGGGGAAAACACCAAAAATTGTGGAAGCTATACTTACTGAAAAACCAGAAGGACAGTACTGTAAAGCTAAAACGGTAGAAAAACCCACAAAATAAATAGAAAATGAAGCCCAGGAATGAAGGGAAATAAGTATACTACTCAAGTCTCTATTTGCAACTAAAATATCAAACTTCAGGCCTCCAGCTTCTCTAAGCACCCTACAGAAATGTTTTCAGTGTACTAATTTATAAGCCTATTTTCACATGTTTGGGTTTTAAAGCTTTATTCCGCAACTGGAAGCAATAGTTGGACAAGCAGCTGAGAGGGGAGATAGGAGGGCACTGCACCCCTCACAGCAGTGGTGAGTGGCCCAGTGGGGCTGGTGGGGCACAAGCACCTCCACAGACCAGAGGAAGAAGCACAATGTTCATTGCTCCCTCTGAGGGTGCCTGGGAAGGGTGAGGGGTGAAAACAGTTCCGACCCTGTGGGGTACTGTATTGTCTATTTTAATCCAAGAATTTACTGCTATGCTCATCAAACTGAACTGATGGAGGAGTACACTGTCCAAGGACAGAGGCACATTCCCTTTATACTCTGATGTCTAACTTTGCCAATTTGGGTACTGCTTGAGAGAAGCTGCACATTACAGAGAGTGTAGATAAAATGTATAGATACATTCTGATTTTAAAGCCATAAAGGACTGTAAAATATAAACTAATGTCACTAGTCAGTGGGTCACCACCAGGCTCTGAACTTTATCCAGTTACTTCAAGATAGAATCCTACTGTTTGTGTTTGAAATCACCACATCTTCCAGAAATACAATGTTGGGATTTGAAGACTGCAAGCAATGGAGAATTCACAATTTCCTTTGATATTCCTTTCATTAATTATTAATCATTTCACTGACATAAATCTGTGCCTTTTCTCATTTGAATGAACCTGATCTTTCTTCAATACACTATTCTTTATTATGTCTCTTTTCACTACATTAAAGTGCCTATCTATGTTCTCTCAAAGAAAGTATGTAAACTTAACAAAATAATTTTCTCTATATTGATTTGTAGGTATCAAAATAATCTAGTCCCTATAAATCTCCCCATTGTCAACAGGTGCTGCACAACTGCAATAACTGCATTATTGATTGTTGAGTGGCTATAACGAAGGTAAGTGGTCAAGAAAGCCAGAAAGAAAATCATCAGCTTAAGTCATGCTGACATTAATTACTCTATGGCACGAAGCTTTAATCTGCAACCCTTCTTTCTGATACTTAGGCCTGGTTGCATTCTTGGTGAAATTACCTCGCCAAAATTCAGAAGTAACCTCATCACTGGTTAATGAGACCATAATCTCTCCTCTTAAGGGCATACTGAATTTATTCTGGCCATATATTGTTTTTCATTGTTATCCTTTATGGACAAGTTAAGACAGTTTGATGTTAATAACTGTAAGATGTTGAAGTACATCAGTCTTACCATTAGATGATCATTTACAATCATTAACTCAATGTACTTTGTTTCCTCTTCAACTTTACGTGGTATCTGACGAACCTATGGAGACAGTACAACTGTAAGAGAGTCTAACAGAGTACACAGAGTGTGCAACTGATAGCTAGGAATGGCTTCAGAAACCAAACATCTCACATACATTTTTTCTATTGTCTTAATATTGGTCTCAGATACTGATGAAACTTCTGGTGCTTAGTTACATCATTTAAAGAAATTCTTTCACCTACACCAGGACATTTATATGACCTTAAACAATGAAATCAAGTATTTCAACCCATCTAATGCCAAATTCTGATTTTTTAAAAGAAAGAGAATCCTCAGCAGGGCCTATATCTCTAAAAATGGCTTGTGTCAGCTATAAATTTTTTTTTTCCACAGAGAAAGGGGATCCCTCCTGCATTCTACATGAAAAATCTCTGTAAGAATTCTATTACTGATTCACACATTGCTTGATTCACACAGTGAACATAGTACTCACCTCTGTGTTACGCTTACTTTGCAGTTAAAAACATTTATGACTGTGCTTCTTCATGGTGTCCTTGTTCTCCTAGGTTTCCAGGAGAGTTATTACATCTTACGAATTAAAAGTGCAGAGTAATGGCTAGTTTATAGAAAGGTAGCAGATCTCCTGATATAAAGTAAGACCCTCAAGAACGACTTCTGGAATTTCTCCAATGTCTTTCTCTCTCCTTTTTTGCCTCTTAGAGGCTTACATTAGTTAAGAGATGTTAAAGTCATCTTCCCCTCCCACTGCTCTCAGTATTTCATTTTTGCTTGCACTGTTCAGCCCCTCTGATCCAGCTCTGTTTTGACCTGTACCATTATTTGAGCTCCATTCCTAGAATGCAAAGAATTGCTGCTATCTTTCCAGTGTACAGATAAACATCTCCACTTAGTGGCTCCCCCACTTTAATAAACAGGGAATTAACTCTCAGTTAGAATATTTTAAATCAAAGTCAAAGGAGATAAAGTAACCACTTGCCACTATTGCCACATGAAAAATGTTTGTAAATGTTTCAACAATTGGGAGTGTCTGAAAAAACTCTCCACTCAAAATGAAAGAAAATATTTTAGCTACTCTTCCTATTTGCAATTTAGCAGTGCTTAACAATTTTACAACACTTCAGGTAGGCAATGTCCAAGAGAACCCAACAATGTTTTTTCAATATTAGATCACTCTTTTTGTAATAGCTATATTTGATATAGAGACCCTATGCCAAACCAGCAGCAGCAGCAGGACTCCATCTGGACAAATTAATTCAGCAGACACAAAACAAACTTGATGGCACATTACTTATAAACAAGCATATTGGCACATACCTGCCTTTTACTTCTTTTGTGTCTTGGCTTTACAATAAACTTCTGTGATGTAGTGTTCATTTGCCAGAACTCTAAGCAGAAAACAGAGGCAAACACATTGAATGTTTACAAGAATATACCCCAACAATTAGTGATCCTGATGCCACATGACAGTAGTATGGCATCCTTCCGTACATCAGAAGCGGCAGTAACTCCTTTTTGCAAGTTTCCAGCTAGAAAGGAGGCAACATTACAGATGCTTCCCAGTAACAGGGTTCTTATTAAAAACTCTACTAGTGATAATCTGGGTCTACTGAAACAGATGATCTGTGGGTGTCATGCTTCAGAAAGCACAGCGGATGTTCTACGCCAAAACTTCACCAACACTGGGCATGTAATATTATTAGCACAGTGCTTCCATGGAGTGAATCACATTTTTGGGCATTCAGCAGACATACACAGAGCTCTTGCAATAGCTACCTAAATGAATAAGAAGAGCATAGAAGGCAGAATTAATGCTTTAAGACGATTATATTTACAAAGTAAAATATGTTAGAGCTGGGAGAAACCTTATGAGATTTTGGCAATGCTCACTATCAATACAATATTCATCCCTGCTAATCCCACTGTGTCTTTAATTTCTTAAACCTCTCATCATAAGCACCAAGTAGTTTATTCTTTTGCCAAATCTCTTGCACCAAATCTATTACTAGCCACTCATGGAAAGGGACACATTGTAAACTGAGCAGAAGACAAAGCTTGCTCTCACCCTTTTATATGTCCAAGAAGTATTTCTCCATCTTTAATTTTAGATTTATAGTCCCTGCCTCACTTTTCTCTATACGACAGAAATCTCATTCCTTATCTTATATAAACATGTTTACTATTCCTATAATCCCAAGAAGATCTTTCTTTGAGACACAAATGTTTGCAGTTGCTTATTTCGTAATATCTTTTTCCTTTGGCCCCTCCTTTGTACTTTCTCCAACTTTGGACATCCTTTCAGACTCCAGGGACTGAAAACTGTTTTCAGTACTCCAGAGTGATTTTATCAATCCCGCAGAGGAGGAGACAGCACGAAAGGAGCTGTATAAATAATGAAGAGACTTTCAGTTCACATACCTTTGCACACAACTTTTAGTTGTGTTACAAAATGCTAAACAGTTCAGTTTCACTGGTGAGACAGGAAAGTTTCTCACAGCTCCACCTCCAACCTGGTGTATATTAACCATGCAATTTCTGCATGAGCTTCAAACAACAGGTTTAAAACCAATGCTGACAGGAATCTGACAAGGCTGCTCTGCCAGCAAAACCTTACAACATGAAGCTGACTTGCCTGTCAAAACATTACCAGGCTTAAGTGGTAATCTTAACCAGGAGCAGCTAGTTACTGATAAGACAAACCAGAAAAGCAAAGCGTGACTAACTGGTATTGTCTTGGCTAAATCTTGGCTATTATACTGTCATTCTGGTATTCTTCTTATGGAGGGGCCTGGACAATCATAGGCCCTTTGCTTAAAAATGTTTTCATGGTTACATCAATGCACTTAAGGGTTTTTTTTACAAAAATAATCTAAAATAGAATAAATTACAACCAAGGGCCCCTATTTATTATTTAAAGACCTGCAGTCTGTACAACTTGCAATGATGAGGAACCAAACCCTAACCTTTTATTTTTTTACAACTTTGGTTTTGATTATTCTTTGCATATGTTGATTAATTTGATCTGTGTTCTACTGCCACTCAACTGGCTCTCAACCTGTCATTTCAGGTTTTATAGCATTGTTAATGAAACTGGTAAACAGACAACTTTTTAATCAATAAAATAATAATTCAGAATATATATATAGGTTCTCCAATAACTTTACCAGCAAACACGATCATTTTACCCATCATCGAAAGTCTAGCCATCTCTAGAGGGGAATGATGCAGCCATTAACATTAATACTTTAACACACATTAACACCGCGCTATAATTCATGAGCTGGATGAATTCACACAGGGTGCCTTTCCAGCCAGGGACCCTCAGGCAAAAGAACACAACCAGCAAAATCACAGGAAATGTAGATAGCTGAGAAAGCCTTGAGGAAATTTTGAAGGGAACATACTTTGAAAAAGCATAATAAGGATTCAAGTGACCTCAAAAGGACATCTGTTATGCATTATTTGAATATCACCACCTTCAGTAATGAAGTATTGTCTAAGACCATGCCAGGACACTATAGGTTTCGATACAGATTGAGAGAAAAAAACACAGTCTACTGAATTATGAAGTCAAACGCTTTAAGCATGCCAAGCCATCCATCCAAGCTTTCCTTATTTAAAGACCTCATTATCTCCTCGGACCATTGCAAAGTACAGTACGATTTATTCTTTTCTGCAATAGCTGGGGGGAAAGGGTTTAAAATACTCAAGGAGCAAAAGAATGTAAAAAGTACATTGCTATCGAACTGTGGTATAATAGTGTGTGCTTTTACTATCACTGATATCAAGTAATCCTTATTACTTGATTTTTTTTCTTTCTAACATCAATATTGAAGCAGATGATACATCCAGTCCATTCCTAATGCAGTGCTGAGTGCAAATCTTATCTTACACACAGGTATTTTTAAAGATAAGAAGAAAGTCTTGACATCAAAGAAGATCTCCTTTAGCTGGGCAAACTGATAAATTATGAAAGTAATAAGGAAAATAAGAAATACTGATGACATAACCTAGCACAGTGCTTGCTGTTAATAATAACGATTCTGCTGTAGTACTTAAAAAAAAACCCAATCACAACAATACTATTAGCAATTAAATGCAAATATTGTTTAAAGACAAAAAAAAAAAGTCAAGACAACAGTCAGCACTCTCCAGACTGGCAAGGAAGAGGCAGTGCCAGGTAAAGACACTGCTGGGGTAGCATGTGCACGGAGTGAAAGAGAAAGTTGGGCGATGAAGGATATAATCTATTACATCTACCGAAACTTTCACTAAAAGCCTCAGAAAGACCTTTCCAAACAGTTTTACATAAACAATATGGGCATGTGGGAGAGCAGATTGTGAGTTAAAGTTTATTTCTCCATATATGGGATCCTTAACATAAAGCAATAGAAGATTAGCACTTTATACCTCCCATCCACATTACAAATATCTGTATAATTAAAAACGCCAGCACTGCACAATTAAATCTCCTTTTCAACCTTTTCTGCAATCTTGTGATTCTAATTCAATCTAATGGCAACATCTTCCATTATATCACATGCCGAGCTTTGTAAAGCAAAGACAGCAGCTATTTACTTGTTATCTACAGTAAAATCAAAACTGTATAAATACATCTGGATTTTTATGAAAAAATCCTGAAGCCCTATTTTGACAGGTTTTTTTGAAAACCAAGAAGTTTTGGTGGAGGCGAAATTGGTGGATTATACCTGCAATGAATTCCTTTTCATAATTTTCCAAGTAGAAAATAATTTCATTCCAAAGTCTTGAAAACATAAAATATCATTATTACAAAATCTTATAAGATAGCTGATAGATATCTACTAAGTACCAGCTCTAGCAGGCTCATACTTTAACAACCTGAGACAGAAGATTTGTTTTAAACTCAGTAGTGGTTGCATTATTTCCAACTTTTCCAACATATCCTCACTAAAGTGTGATAGAAGATGCACTTCACTATTTGGCCTGATGTTCAATAAATTGTTCTCATTACACTATCATCTCCACAAGGACAGGCAGTAACCACAGTACCTGTCTAAGGTGCACGTACATAAGAAGCTTCATGGTACAGATATCGACATCCTACACTGCATGAGCCTTTTGTGCTGCACTTCCAGCTCAACTCCTCCTTCATCTTGTCTGGGCAATCACCAGCAGAGGATGTGAGACACCAAGCTGGGACACTGCTGTGTTTAGACTCAGAAAGATTTCTTCTTCAGAACTGAAATCAAGGTGACCCAATTGTAGCAATTTCCCTTGTTTTTTTTCTCATTAGGTCTCTGAATGATTCTGCTTTGCTTAACAACTAGCAAACCTGCACACACTCTGCTCCAGGGGAGGACCCATCTATGCACAGTGCTCAGCACTGTAAGGTCTGAGATCCCACTGGTACCATAGGACAAATAGTTTGTAACAAGACTGGACATCTGTAACTCTTCTGAGGAAATCAGTCTAGAGGTGGTTTCTACCAAAATGAGAGTATCTATGAAGGACAGTTTTATTTATCTAAGATGTATTTTGTAGAGTAGGAAAGTGCATCTGTAAAACTGGCAACTCCTTGACAGAATGAGGATATGCCATAAATACTGTAATTTTAGCTTCAATTAACAAGCCAACTACTCAGATGAAAACTCATTTTTTTTAAATCCTCTTCTGTCTCCATAAACAGTATAAATGAGGATTCATCACTACAAGCACTCATGCCTCCAAATTCATTTGCACTGAAATGCATGACCTGCTCTACAGCCAGTACTGTAAGAGATGCAGAATGGACTGGAGATGAGAGTCACTGAACAGCAACAATATTTGGCAAGTTCTTGTCTCCCAGACTTACTTTCACACCACAGTACTCACCCTGTATCTCAAAACAGGAAAAATACATGAAGACTTATCAACCACTGGCAACGGGGTCTTTATTTTCAGCATCTTTAGGCTACCTTGGTCCTTTCCTTTCTACAACTACTAGCATATAATGCAGTCCATAGACTGCACAATTTGTTAAGAGAAACATACATCGCAACATGAATGTCTAGGGGAGGTCTGATTCATTGAAATTTAGGGGTTTTTCAGTGCTTCAGGTTCTTTTCCAGTGCTTTCAGTGTTTCAGATTATTTTTTTCTTTTCAGTGCTTTTTCATTTAATCAGGAAAAATAAGAGATACAAATAAACAGTGTACTACAAGAAGATTATATATCAAATATAATTAACAAATTTGGCCCTGGACTAAAACAAGTCAGTAAGTCATGAATATTAAAAAAACATACCAGATGGCACATCATCCGAAGGAAACTCAAACAACTTGGATTTGTAAACAGAGTGGAAATGGAAGTCACCCTGAAATAGTAAATAACTGCATATATTAAAACTGGATAAACTAATCCATCTCATAAGCATTAAACAGACAGTTCCAAAGGTCCTTGCTATCCAACACCTACACTAGTGAACATGTAAGTTGCAAGGCATCATTACACTCTTCTCCTCTTCCCAGCTGTGATGTGATCAGTAACACCACAGTTAATCATCTCTCATCTGAAATATCTGAGTACATCGGAGTGGCTGAGCACGCTCAGAGCTAGACTTAAGAGAGCTGCCCAGGGAACATCAGTGAGAGGTACAAGAGCTGCTGAACGGGAGTCAAGAACAAGAAGGAGGAGAGGAATCTCCCTTATAAGGAGCGGCTGAGGGAGCTGGGTCTCTTTAGTTTGCAGAAGAGGAGACTGAGGGGAGACCTCAGTCATGTTTATAAATATATAAAGGGTGAGTGTCACGAGGATGGAGCCAGGCTCTTCTCGGTGACAAACAGTGATAAGACAAGGGGTAACGGACACAAGCTGGAACACAGGAGGTTCCACTTAAATTTGAGAAGAAACTTCTTCTCAGTGAGGGTAACAGAGCACTGGAACAGGCTGCCCAGAGAGGTTGTGGAGTCTCCTTCTCTGGAGACATTCAAAACCCGCCTGGACGCCTTCCTGTGTAACCTCATCTAGGTGTTCCTGCTCCAGCAGGGGGATTGGACTAGATGATCTTTTGAGGTCCCTTCCAATCCCTAACATTCTGTGATTCTGTGTGAATGTAACGAATCCAGAGTGGGAAGTGCCAGAGAAGGGGACAGGGCACTCACAGGCTTCTCTTGTTGGCTCCAAGGGACCCTTATCACCCTCTGGTGCTGCACTGCTCTACACCTAAGTGTTACAGAGTACACACGTTTTTGGAGATCTACTTTTGTCTGTGATGCTGGGGACTCACACATGAGGTAGATGAGTTGAAAATGAGAGGATGACCCTTTGGTCCCAGAGCCTTTGGTCCCCTTACGCCTATCCAGTACCCATGAATGTCTGTATTCAACAAACAACACAAGATAAGTTCTACTTACATCTGAAGAGTAGTTTTCATCTGGCTCAATAAGATAAGTATGATTTCCATCATAGAACATCCCACTGTTAAGAGAAGTAAATGTAAATAGTGATTTAATAAACAAATACTAGCACAACTTGGAAGTAAGTTTAAGAAGTTAATGTATTTTAAAAATATAAATATTTATAGAAGGAAGCAGTTAAAAATTGCTTCAGGAACTGAATATAATTCTGAGTCAATCTTTCGTTTCTTAGCTTCAGAAATAAAGATATTCTCTCTTGTGGTGACATAGACTCTTCTTCCTTCCCCGAAGCTCCTCTACAACACATATAAACACCACAAAAATTGGCTAATTTAGCCAACTGAAAATCCAGTTCAGAGCCTCGACTCCCATTCAAGAGATCTACTCGCAACAGATAAATAAGGAACCTGTCTTTAGGAACATGTGTATTTGGAACATATGTACAGCTTTCCCCCAAAGAAAAATATTATCCCATTGAATTGATCCTTAGGTTTTAATGGTTTTTATTAACTCCTTCCTCATGTAGTACCGAGTACAAAGGGCATAATGGGGTCTTCTGGGCAAAGAGGGTTGTTTGGGGCATTTCATCAACAATAATTATGACAGATGGTCTTTTCTTTTTAAATTAAGTTACTTTAAGTTTATATTTCTAGGAAACATTAATGGCTATATGCATAATCCTATCAATATGGATATTATATGATGTTCATGATAAGGAGATAGGAAAACCCATCAGAAAGGCTTCCGAAGGGTTGGGCTGAAAAGAGATACCAAGCCTTCAGCCATACCCATGGTTCTGGCAAAGTACTGATGGTTTCTTTCTTAAAGGAATAAAATCTTCTCAACCACAGAAATCTGAGGGTCATTCACGATATGCACACTGCTATGTATCACTTTGCTTGCCCTCACACAACCACCAGTTTTCCATATTAAATTCCAACACAGTTCAACTCCAGATAAAAAACAAACTGAAGCACTAAGGCTCTCTAAATGGATGGAGACAGTCTGTGACAGTAACACCAGGTGCTTTTGCATTACCACTTGAATGCACAGCAAAGGTGAGGTCTATTCCTGCAAGAATGTTTTCTAGTAAGAGGTACCTTAAGTTTACTTAGGTAAAGTGTGTACTGAGATTTAGTGTTTAACTGAATGCAGGATGCACAAGTGTGGGTGAAATGCACCTTAAAAGGAAGTGTTGATACAGACATTACTCTGTAAGAGCATAAAACCAAAGGGCATTTCTTATATCACCACCATTCTGATATTCAACCAAATCAGCTTTTTTTAAAGAATAATTTTGCCTTTATTGCTGTAGCATACGTGCATGGTTGGGATTAGGTTGTATCAACATTCTCTCAAAGTGCCATCAATAAGGGCTTTAAGCTTGGCCATAAATATGAGCTGTAAGTTCAAACTTGGCACATAGTACATAACAGCAGCATGAAAGCAATATTTATTTATTTATAATACTCTTTAGCAAACTTTTTAGGCATTAAAAAAACCCACCGGAATGATAAACAACAAAACTAGAAACTTTCATTTTTCTTTTTTTTGTAATCAGCAAAATTTATTTTGGTTCTGCACAGGACCAGATGCAGTCAGTAAAATACTGTCATTCTGTTCCTGACTATTAAGAAATATAAGCATATATTAAGCTTGTCAATCATTACAGCTATTGATGAGCATAATTTTTTAAATAATATTCACTTATGGGGTTAACTATATAGCATTCACAGAAGTAGCTTGAGTTACTGACTGTACATGAAGTGTGATCATGAGTATATCCAGAATAGCTGTTTTACCTTTCAAATTACCTGTGCCTATTCTTTAGAAATAAATACTGACCACACAGCTTAAAATGGTCTAGTACTTGCTGAAGCTTCTTTGCTTGGGAATAAGATAAAATTTTAGAACATTCTGCAGCTCTTCATCAGTCAAAACTTCCTTCCCTCTAATTGCAATTTTACTTAAGCACAGTCTGCAAGATGAATGGCTATCAGCAAATGGCTTCTCATGCGACTGTTGCACCCAGCAGCACCGGCTGCTGATCAAGGCATTCAACAGTGACAAGAATAATATTCACGGCTGACCTACAGATCTGCCTTGCACTCAAAAGTATTCACAGCTCTTTTCCAACTGAATTCAATAGTCCAGTGCCCTGTGAACAAATCACACGCTCACAGAGAGACAGAAAGCAATAGCAAAACACGGGTCACTTCAAAAACCTGAATTTTTATTATGTATATTCTACAAACAAATATGTTTGTAGTCATGAAAATCTTATTTCCAGTAATAACAGCAGTTTCTATATTCACCACCAGTGGGCAGCAAAGTCATAGACCAAGCCAGTGTCTCTGCAACTTTCCTTGAAACACATGACTGCAAGTCCTGCCTGACTGTAGCTTATTTATATCCCAGCAACCGGTGTGTTTTGCATTCAAAGTTTTTTTGTGTTAACTCATAGGAAACTGTGGTTACTGCAAATCTCACAGAAAACAACAAAAAAAATCCAAACAAAATGGTTTGCTCAGAGTTAAGGTTGCAGATACGTTTTTTCATTAGTAAAGTCGTTAAGATGAGAAAAAAGTTGTAAGTATTCTGTCAGCCAATCACCTGATTAATTTAACTAATAAAATGAAGACCAGAACATACACATTACCAACAGAAGTACTCGTGATTTATGAAAAAAACACAACATCTTCTCACATGCATGAAAAATTCTGCTGTTACTGGCCAAGATCTAAGGGTACTAATAACAAGTAAGAGAGGAGATTAGCATGAACTTTGGGAATATGAAGCTTGTTATTCATCAGTTCTGTCTTCTGCTGTTCCTAAAATTCATGAAAGCAAAGCTCCTGCCCTGCAGACCTTATTAGAAAACAGCTCTCCCCAGCTTCCCTTATTCCAATGAGACGCCCCGAACGGTGGTTGGAGCTAAGGAGCTCTGGTTGCCAGTGGGAGTTTCCAGTAACTACTTAGCAGTTAAAATCGACTGTGGAGGAGCTAGTTGTAATGATGGAAATGCAGCGTCAGAGCATGTGAGTTTAGCACAGCTCAGGAAAACATTCCTTTCCCATGCTGGATGCTGGAATTACCAGCCTGCTATAGTAAGCTTCATATTGCATCTTGTGTGAAGGATAACTCTGCTGAAACTTCATTGTATCAGAAAAAGGAGGAAAAAAAAAAGAAAGAAAAAAAAAATAAGATACTTCTCAAGGGAGAGATGAATTTTACAGATTTAAAAAATTCATCTTTCATCATGTAACTGTTAGAAAGGACCAATTTGAATATCAGGCAATTTAAGAGTACAGAGTAGCAGGAGGGTCAGTCTTAAAAACAAACCCACAGAATGAGCGCATGAAAGGACACACACTCTCCTTTTATGCTTTTTCTCCTAGGAGTTAGCAGGGGCCAAGACCTAATGGATCACCGCTAATGGAAGCCATGCAGTGGCTCAGGATACATCAGGATGCTACTATTTTTAGGCTCACTGTCCACAGTGAATCGGGACTCAGGTTTCTTGAGCTGCTCAACCTTGATCAGCAAAGAGATAAATACAGCTGTAAATCAGACAAGTGCAAGGATGACAAGTCTTCTCCATGTACTCTCTTCCTTTCTGACAGAGAATATAAAAATGTAAAGGACAGACACTAATTAAATACATGTACTTGCATGACTGATGAAAAACTACAGAATAGCTGGAAATTTCCGTGAGAAGCCCTGTTTCCTCAGAAAAAGGCAAAGCTCTCTACAAAGGCTCACTTGCTGCCATGACTTCTGGAGCTGATCTCAGTATCATAAGTGCTGAGATCCCATAATTCCCAAATTCAACTGACACTGAAGATACTTGGTTGCTTTGAAAACCTGAGTAGCATCTTTCACCCATGCCAAAAGCAGACATCTAAAAGCTGTACAATCAACACACAGCTCCATGTAACCACCAGAGGACAGACACTTTAATTATATTATCATTTAAAAAAAATATTATTGCACAATTTTATGGCCTTTATTCCAGATTTTCCAAGATTTGACTATATCAAAGGTATTATGCCATCCACACAGCTTAAGACCAGCAGTAATGTGAAGAAAACAGATAGGACAAGAGAACTCTAAACTGACATTTTCCTTTACAAAGAGAGTAGAAAAGAAAGATTATCTACATCATTGTAGCAACAGGAAAAGAGCACAATTTCCAAATGGTTCAAGACTGGCAGTGGTTTTTATTCCTGTAGAATAGGATGTTTTCAGCTACTTTTACTCTTCTCTGTCTATAAAAAATATCTTAAAACAATACCTGGCCACTGTCATATGTCCTCAGGTTAAATTAAAAAAACAAACAAACAACTCACATGCTTTGTCAGTGAATTCTGAAAACAAACAAACAAGGCTTTTGCAATGTTCAAATTAAACCCATTTTTTCTAAAGATTGTTGAGTCCTTAATATTGGTAACAAACTAGTAGGAAAATAAATAGCACTTATTTTACTATAAACAGCTTTATTTTGCTTAAAAGACTAATAAGCAAAGGCCAGTAAAAACAAAATGACAGACTTACTGTAATCCATGGCATGTTGACAAGGCAACAAATGATACAGGATTTCCTCGAATCTGTCCCTGATAATAGCAATGTTCTCCTCCCTGAAATTGGAAATTGAGACTGTAAATCCCCAGTATGTCCCATAGTATCACATTCCATCCTGTCAAACTTTTTCATAAATACATTGCCAGCCCACTGACGCAGCACCAAGAATTGACTATCCCTCACAAGGGTGCTCATCCCATCTCCTTTTAGCCCTGGTTTGGTACCTAGACAAACACCATCATTTTGATTCTCTCTGCAAAAGAGATGCATATTTTCAGCATGAAACCCCAAGACAGATTTAGGAGCCAAATTACTCCAGAAGTGCTCATCTTTCTTCATTGATGAAAGAATTTCTTCATTGAAAAAGAGTTAGAAATAGAGGGTTTAGAGTCAACACCTGGTCTGCACATGGCTCTATCGGACAAGATGAACTCTGCTCTGAGGGTCAGGCAATTTCCTACTTGTGTGGACAAAGGTATGTTTATCAAATAATAATAATAATACTTGATTAAAAAAAAGAACATTTTAGAGGTACTCACTAGTGCTCCAAAACAAATGGAAACTTTAAGTACAACCAACCAGTAAAGGAATACAATCCAAGTTAATATTTGCCTCTACTGCAAATAAAATATACACCTTTCAAATCAAATCTAGCAGATCTTACTCAAAAAATTCCCCCCTTAGTTTCTCAGAAATCACATCAATAATGAAGTAAGCCCTACTGCACACACACTGAATGTATTCAGTATTGCACAATGTCAATATTTGTATGCAAAATTAGAAAACCAATTCAAACATCCCTTAAATTCTCACTCCACTCTACCCTGCAGAGGAACTTACCTATTAATGCCTTGCCAAATTCAGCTATGTCAAATCATTGCACTACTGCTGGTTGAAGGACTATAAGGAAGATTTGCAGTGCTTTTTAAATTTTTTAAATAGCAACACTTCAGTATTTCTATTCTCTACCAGCAAATGTATGAATAACCTACCTAGCCTAATGTACCCAGCCATGTGAATATTTATGTCCATTTACCACAGGGAAGAAAAAGCATTACAATTACTGCTTTTTCAGAACCTGGCACTCACTTGCATGATGCATAGCACAGTCATTTTAGACATCTGACATCAAATGCTCTTGGATTTTATTTTTCAAATATGAAAAAAAAAATTAACTGAGGTAAGGCAAAAGGCAAGAAAACAGATAGGTTACATTGGTAGTTTTGTGTTTTGATCAGGAAATCCTCTTCTGTTTTCTACAAGGCATGCAAACTGTTTTTGAAAGCAGCTACAAACTATGGGTGCCTCTGTTTTGAGGTGCTCTGCTTAAGAGAGTACAGGAGCCTGTTTTTCAGAGGGAAAGA